AAAAAAAAAAAAAAAAAAAAAAAAAGTTGAGGCCATCAGTAAAATCTCTGTACAGAGCTGAAGGAACTGATCGCTGCATTTGGAGGCACAGCGTTTTGCGGGTTTAATTCATTAGATCTTGGCGTTTCTGGCGGGGTTGCATCCATATTTTTTCGCTCATCGTCAGTGCCTACGGAGGAGAAATCCATGCAGGTATGGATCCTGGCTGGGCTTATGGAGAGCGAGCCCTGCGCCCCTGTGCCGTAGAGAGCGAAGCAGACAAATGGGTAGCAAAATAGACCAGAAAATGTTGCCGCTGACAAGGGGGGGTCCTTTTGCATTTGCAACGCTGGAGAAATTTTCCCCCTCTCTCTGTGGGAAAGCTCAGAGGGGAACCGTTAATAGAGAACTTTTTATTTTCCAGTCCGCTTCCTGACAGTATGAATGGACTCTTCATTCTGGAGATGATCTCCAGTGAAATTTTTACATTTTATTCAAGTTCCCAACTGTATTTCAATGAGGATCTCTGTCCAGGCGAGCGGAGCGTGATGTATGTGGCGTGGGGGCTGCTGAGACAACTTGGGCATGGATCTGCGGTCTGAGCCGCTCTGTCTCACGAGCGTGTCACTTAGGCGATGTATCTATAGGCACCTATAAGACTGTGAGATGCACACGGGATTGAGAGGCTGCTCGGAGTCTCCCCACCAGCTGGATTTATCCAGCCATCAAATATTCCCTCGGAGGCATAAACGGGATTTGCAAATATACCGTTTCCTGCAGTGTCCCTTCCGCTGTGCCCAGCTCTCGGTTACCCTAAAGTTCAGGGACCTCGGTCCTATTGTGCGTGCATCCCTGCCGAGGCATCTTTACCGGCTGGTTGCGTCGCATATGGATTTTATTATCTCTCGCACATTTTTGTGGGGGGTTGGAAGAGAGAGATTTTTTTTTTTCTTTTTCTTTTTTTTCCCCCTTTGCTAAGTTTTTGGTTACAGCTTCGATTCCTTCCCAGCTTCTACAGCCTGGGCTCTTTTCTTTTGTTCTGTTCAGTGCCAAACATGTGCTAGGGCTCTCGCACACGGAAAAGATAGGACTTCAACGCGTGTTATACGACCGCTCAAACTTCGGGGTCAAGAGCATTGGGACTGGGGACGTGACTGCTGGGCACTGCGGGGCGGTCGGCGCGACGTGGACGTTGCAGTGAGTTCGCAAGCCAAGATTGAGCGGTTGGTGTTTGACCCTGTTGTTATAAGGAGCTCAGCAAAACCACTTGCCGTCTGTTATAAGGCTCACGCTCCCTTGCTCCCAGCTTCACGAAACCCCGTTATCACGGCCCTTTTTTGCCCCAGCGCCTCTGTGTAAGCCCCCATGATGGCATTGCACAGGCAGGCAATGTCCCTGGAAGATAGTGTTTTAAAAATCCAGCGTTGACGAAGATGATATCGACCAAGAAAAAATATGGAGGAGGAAGTAAAAAAACAAAAACAAAAACAAAACCCCAACATATATATGTGTAGGTAAAAGAGCGAACAATGGAGAGAGCTGGTGGGTTTTCACTGGTCATATTAGTGAGATTTGGATCTGGGATAAGGGCCGAATTCTTCCAGCATGGTAGTGTCCCGCATTGTGCATCACCGATTGTGCGTGTCCTGGGTTTTGGGATGGTGGAAATTTGGGGCAGTTTGTTAGGTGGAGCAAACCCAGGAGTTCCTGTTGAGCTTTCTGCTCATTGAGGGGAGAGGAAAAAAAGCACAAACGACATTTTTATTTATTTCTCTCTCAATAGGGCAGAGGTTTGGTTGCACCTTTAAAAAAAAAAAAAAAAAAATCTTTTGTCTTTTGGTTTCTGTCCTGATTTTCTTTTCTTTTCCC